GCTATTTCTTTGACAGACACAAACATCGTTTCATATGTAGCCTGTTGGAGTTACAAGAGAAGTTACTTAAAGCTTTGATTTGGACAGGGTTCAGAAAGATGATGGGGACTGAACCCGCCAAGTCTTTGCAAAGCCCCCTCCCCCGTTGCATTTTGGTTATGAAAATTCAGTTCTCACACTGGAGTGAGGTTATTACTTTGCTGGCAGTGACTTAAGCATCCTGCGTAAAAGGGGTAAAGATAGTTTATACATTTGCAAGCTTAGTATACTGAACTCTGTTGGATTGAGTTCTTTTTGAAAAGGCATTATAGCAATAGGATTCTAGAACCATTTAAAAGTCCTTTATACAAATATTATTTTAAACACAAATAGTCAGCTCTCTCATCATCTAACAAGAGTCCCTTGTCTGTGATTGTGTCTAAGTGACGCCCTCCCTCCATGACATTTAGGAGTCTTAACACAAGCCACACAGCTGGTTCCTCACGGGGTGAAAGAGCTGCCTTATTCTGGTATTATGGTTTATAGCTGTCAAAAGGTCCTTGTTCATGATCTCATTTGAGGGGTTTTGGTGCCACGTTCCTAGAATTACTTTGCTAGTTAGTGGGAGAGTTTTGATTGGACTCCAGGGCTCTGTGTATTGTTCTTCCTGCTGTATCCCGTGGTCCTCCTTCCCAGCTTGTCAAATTGTGCTGGTAGAGGGTGATGAAGAGGAGCAAACATGGCATCACGGTGCCTCGGAAACTGGTGTTGTCCCTGCAAGTGCCTGGTGCTTTGGAAGTTGTGTGTCAATCAGTGTGTGCAGCATGCTCTAGCCCTGCCTCTGCTCTGTGTAATTGCTTGAAAAGGTGAGGAACCTGCGCAGATTATGAATGCCAGTTTTTGTTTTTAATTGAGCTCTTCAAGTAAGATTCCCATAGAATCAGCTCAGTTGAAAATATATAGTGAGAGTATGCAGATAGTTTACTTTAATGTATCCATCCTCTGAGCTCATACATCGTACAGCATACAATACATACTTGTATACGTGTGTGTACTATCCCTATGTATTTACATATAGCTGGCTCTTTGTGTCGTGGGTCCTGCATCGGAGAGGACTCCATCAACCATGCATCATGGATGCTATCGTTAGGCCTCTGAGAGTTGCGTCTGTACAGGCCACACACAGACGTCAGCTGTTGTGATCTTTCCTTCAACAACTCAGTCTGAAGACGGTTTACCTAGCATTTGCATTGCATTAGGTTTGTAAATGATCTAGACACGACTTCAAGTGCACAGGACAGTTGACATAGCACTGTGCAAACATTATACCATTTATGTAAAGGACTTGAACATCTGTGCACTCTGGTATCCTTGGAGGATCCTGGAACCGATCCCCCATGAATACCCATGAACAACTGCACATTGCATCTGCAGTGTGGAAATACATACATACATATATATATAATTGTATGTACATATTCTACACACACACACACACGCAGACACACTCTGATTGAATGCTATGGTTTTTCAAGGGTCACCTGGTAATCGTAACTTGGGCTGTGTCCCTTCAACTTTTGAAGGCTCAGGCAGTCCCTGTAAGTCGCTGCTCTGTAGCACCTTGGATGTGCACAGAGGTGATGGAGGAAGATGCAGTGCCTTCACCAGGAGCGCTGTGATTCACACAGAGGCAGTCGGGCCTCCTGCCCTCATCCCTCCTCTCCCAAGTGGCTGGGCTGAGAGATGATGGGCTGGGGAGGCGCGTGCCTGGCTGCTGGCCATCTGTGCACAGTCACACAATCTTTTTTCTGGCAGGACATACTTGTATGGAAAATAGAAAGAAGAAACCCCGTAAAGCAAAAGCAGTTAAATCCTTAAGAAGAGAGCCCTAGGATGTGTTTTCTGTCCTGATGTTAGCGCCTTGAGTTCTTGAGATCCAGTGGGCATTGGTTGGTCTCGTCAGTAACTACTGCATGCTGGCCGTCCATTAAACAAGAGTCGCCTCGATGTGAGTGACAGGCTGACCAGCCTATGGACTGCAGGTGCACCTGGGTGGTTTCATTGATCAATGGTGTTCTGGCAGTGTGGACAGGTGCCAAGGATAAAACCCACGTGGCAGCAGGCTGCTAGGGGCCCTGCAGATATGCACTGTGACACAGAGAAGCAGAATGCGTTAAATCCTCATTTGCCAGGTACAGATATGGGTTAGAAGTAAAAGATTGTTTAATGAGAAAAGAAAGCCATGGGCATTTAAATAATCTGCTGTGTAGGAGAAATCAATAAGAGAATTTCCTGTGGGTATTTCTATGTTATTTTAAGAGATGATACCACGCAGATTTGGATAAATCAGGAAAGGCCCCATGTGTAGCCGAGATGGACAAAGCCGTTCGGTAGATCTTCTACAGAGGGTGAGTCTCAGGAGTCACCAGCCAAAGACGATGAACTGCAGCACAGCCTGCCTATGCCATGCCTTCCAGTTCTTAATTTCCACTCTCTGGTTCCTAAATTTATCTTCTGCCCCCATGCTAAATACCCCCACTTTTTTCTTTTTCTTTGTTTTTATTTGCTTTCCTTGAACTTGCCACACTCTTTTTTTTTTTTTTTTAAGAAGTTGTTTTAGGATTCGCTTCCAATGTGCTGCTACATCAGATGAGACAGTTTGTGAATTAAACATGGTGAACCATCACAGGAGTAGGGACAGGAATGTGGGCTGAGCTGAGCTCAGTGGGCAGTTGGTGAGCTCAACTCTCGCTCGCTCTCTCACTCACTCTCTCTCTCGCTCTCACTCTCTTAAAGATTTATTTATTTGAGAGGCAGAGTTTCAGACAGAGGGAGAGACTGGGAGAGAGGTCTTTCATCTACTGGTTCACTCTTAAATGGCCACAGTGGCCGGAGCTGGGCCGATCCGATCCAAGAGCTTCCTCCGGGTCTCCCACTTGGCTGTAGGGACCGAAGCACTAGGGCCATCTTCCACTGCTTTCACAGGCCATAGCAAGGAGCTGGATTAGAGAGGATCAGCTTGGACACGAACCAGTGCCCATATGGGATGCTGGTGCTGCAGATGGTAGCTCAGCCTACTACACTGCAGTACCGGCCCAGAGCTAACTCTTGATAGAGAAGAGGCACAGGTTGCCATCTGCCTCCATGGGTTGATCCTGTAGAACACTGGGATTGATCACACCTTAACCTGGCCTCACTGGTGATAATTCAGCCCCACTCTTCCTCCTCCACCCCCTCCACCCCCTCCATCCATTTCCATTGTCCATCACTTTGAGCTTAACAAGAACGTTACCTTTGTTGGGTTCTATTTATCATAAGCTCCTTTGGATCCTGGAGGCCTGTGTCCATCCTCCATCATTTTGGAAGATTCTGCATAGCCTCTTTGATTATTACTGACAGCTTGGTCCTTGCCAGTGGTGCTGATTAAATGTGGACCAAAGCTCCTGCGTCCCGATCGTCACACAGGCCAGGGAGCTTTCTGGGCCTCCATCAGTCTGGTGCTGGGCCTGCGGGGGTGTCAGAGCAGTTTGTCCTGCACAGAGTGGGGGATCCGTTTGATTTCCTGACTGTTTTATCCCTACTCTCCCGCAGGAGCCTGGGTCTCTTCCCCAGGTCCATAGAGCTCAGCCGAGAGATCACAGACAATTCTCTTGGAGGAACTTGGCCTTGGCCCTGTTCGTGTTAGGTGACAGCCTCTGCACCGTCTACATTGTGTGGGATCTGGCTTACATGTTTTATGTAAAGTTATTTTGCATCTTGTCTGGTTCTTCAGAGAGTTTTGACAGCAGCACAAGAAAACAGGGCAAACCTCCACTCCTCCCCACCCCCTCCGCTGGTTGTGATTTTCCCTCCCAGGATTCACTGTGGGGTCATCACTGCGCCTGCTCCCCCACCCCCACCCCAGGGCCTGCGGGCAGACTCAGCCCGGTGTTCTGGAAGATGTCCCTGTGCGGTGCCCCTCAGTCCTGCTGGGCTTTCCTATCTTAATCCCCACTTTGATTCATCCCCATAAGGATCCGGACTTGGCAAACTGCTGCGCCTCTCTCTGCCCTGGGGTTTGGGTTCCTGGCCACCCCTCTCCCGGAGGCCTCCCCCGTGGGGGGAGGGGAGACTCAGACTCTTTGAAGTTTGTTGTGCTCTCTCCACTCAGAACCCTTGCCCTTTCCCCAGCTACAAAAACACAGGAGATCAAGAGAAAACAAGCCTCTCATCCACCCTGGGCCTTTCCCTGTTTCCCGAATCCATCTCCTGCTTACACGCCTGCCTTGCGTCTTGGCAGGGTTCACTTCAGTCTTTCTGGCCGCCATGATGGAGAGTTACTGTTAGTGCTAGAGTTGGGAGGTTTTACTACCCTCGATGTTGCCCTTTGTGTGTAGGAAGCAAATCCAAATATCCTGTCAGTTTTCACTGTCGCGGTCAGGCCGTGCGGCTGCGCTGGGCGTGGAAAACTCAATGTTTCCTCAAGAGTGGGGCTCCCTGTGTTGGAGGAGGGGACTGTGTACCAAGGCATCCAGGTCTGCAGACTTCATGTGCCCTGAGAGCCAAGTCGCCATGCACCTTGCAGCATGGGCTACACCCACCTGGCTGGCCAGACCCCACGTGCTGTGCGTTTCTTGGTTAATATTGGAGAGTTTATTTTTATAAAGTGGCCAATGTCCGATCTATTAGCCAAATGTTGTTTATAGCCCTTGCCCATCTAGTGCTGGTCTCTAGTCCTTTGGCTTCTTATTTCCTGAACTCTTTATTTAGGGTAACCTTATACCTCTGACTATAATATAAATTTAAAATGTTATCTCAAAAATCCATTTTGATAAAAAATTTTAAAAAATGATAGTTCATACCATTGAAAATTGGAATCACTAGAACAGAAAACAGTTGTTTGGCCAAATAAATCGATAATTAATTTTTTTTAGAAAGTATACACACTCACCATTCCTGTTGGCCCAGGGCCTGTGACCATGTTCCGCACTTTTTTTTTCCCTAGGAGGAATGTCAGAACTACATCCGGGTGCTTTTGGTGGGCGGCGACCGGTTGTTCACCTGTGGGACCAACGCTTTCACACCTGTCTGCACCAGCCGCTCGGTATGGCTTTGTCTGCACATCGATGGGTCTTCAAACATCGCAATAAAGCCCTAGGTTTAGACACATTTCATTGTCAAATTGAATAAGTAATTGATTTATTTCTAGTAGGAATGTCAATTATATAAAGAATAGGCAAGAGTTGCAGCTTACGTAATTATATTTAAATATGTTCTGAACCATTTAAACTGGAATTCCTCCCCTTCCATATCCCAAAATATTAATCATAAACATCTCTCTTCCTATTCTGCTTTGTGTTAAATATTAAAAGGGTCTCGAATCACAATCTAGAGGAAGAAAATATAACAAATTGGATAAGAAGCGTGCCAGAGAAATAAAATGAATGGAGCCCCAGGCAAGGCAGAGTCACCCGCGTCCTTTGATTTCCTGCTGTAACCGGCAGAGGAACTGTCAGTGTGCATGTCCCTCCGCAGTGGCCTGGCGGGGTCATTGGGTGGACTCCTCTAATCCAGGATCTTAATTTAATCTTCCTGGAGGAATATAATGAGGAAATACTATTATGTTGATTTCCTGTTGAAAATCTTATGTTTACTTTTCCCTGGTATCAAGTTAACAGCCGGCCACTGGCTGTCAGGAGAGGAGGAGGAGGGTGGGGGCAGTGCTCAGAGGGCAGCTCAGCCCCACGTCCTGCTCTGGCTGGAGAACAGTGCAGGCAAGCAGCCCCTGGTGTGCCCCGTGAGGGTCTCCCCTGGGCCTGTGTTCTACACTTGATCTTAGCCGAAAGGCTGAGAAGCGCTGGGCTTGTGTTTTATCCATGAGGAACCTGACACACACAGAGATTGGGTCACTGCCGCACAGCAAGCAGGTGTCCACCTTCAGCTGTCTGACCCTCTGGCACTGCTCTCCCTAACGTAAGAGTCAAGAACTAAATATGTTCTTGTTTCACAATCAATTAATGCATTTGAGGGACAGAAGAGGGAAACACACACACACACACACACACACAGGAAGTGAGAGACAGAGAAGAGAGTGAGTGAAACACGCAAACCCGGAGTGAGCTCCTGTCCCTCGCTTTACCCCCTAAATATCTACAGCAGCTGGTGCTGCACCAGGCAAAGCCCAGGGTCCCACGCAGGTGCCAGGAGTCCAGGGCTGGAGACATCATTGCTGCCTCCTGGGCGTGCCTGGGCAGGGAGCTGGAGTAGGGACATGGAGCTGGGAATTGAAGCAGGGTAGTTCAATGAGAGACGCAGGTATCTTTTCTGAAAAAGATCTATATATGCATCTATGTGTTTGAAAGCCAGGGGTGGGGGAAGATCTGCTGGATCACTTCCCAAGTGGCCACCACACCTGGGGCAGGCCCAGTCCAGAGCCAGGAGTCAGGCGTCTCATTCTGGTCTCCCATGTGAGTGGCAAGGGCCCGCAACCCATGGCCGTCTCCCCCTGCTTTCCCAGGTATGTTAGCAAGGAGCTAGATTAGAACCAGAGCAGCTGGGATTCATGGACACTCCCAAATGGGAAGCTGCTGTTGCAAGTGGTGGCTTAACCCAGTGCCTTGAGGGACCCGGGCGACTTAACTGCTACACTAAATGCTCACACCCACCAAAGCCATTTCTCTTAAGGTGCCCTCAGTACTCAAAGGCTTTGTCTCATGAGCAGTGGGGAAGCTGCAAGCCACCCTGGTGGCTTCCTGGATCTGGAACAGAATAAAAGTGCTGGAAACGGGGCTGTGTTGTGCTGAACGTGCATATCCCTTGCTGTGGCTGTCCCAGGTAGCTTCACCCACCTGTATCGAGGCACCGATGGCTCCTTCCGCACTGTGGCTTCTATCATTTCTATGTCTATAAATGGTGAGGTCACAGTGATTTCTGTGTTAGAGTGCGACAGTGTGCAGCACTTGTGCACACATCACAGCCGTACCTGCAGTAGTCTTCCTGTTCTGTGAGTGTTCACCGCTGTGAGGTTCCGTAACTAATGGGATGAGAGACAGACTGGCTGAGGGATTCTCTGACCGCGTGCACAGGAGGCTGCACTCAGCAGGCGAAGCGTGCAGGGCACGTCACTGTCTGTCCTGAGCCCCGGGAGCTTGGGGCACAGATGTCCCTTGGCATCGGGGTTGCTGTGACCATCAGCACCAGGAAAGGGGCTTTCAGCAGGATAATTGGGGTCTCCCTCATCTTCGCCCACAGTTGAGTAACCTGACGGAGATCCACGACCAGATCAGTGGCATGGCCCGCTGTCCCTACAGCCCCCAGCACAACTCCACGGCGCTGCTCACGGCCAACGGGGAGCTGTACGCTGCCACGGCCATGGACTTCCCGGGACGCGATCCCGCCATTTACCGAAGCCTGGGCGTTTTGCCACCTCTCCGTACGGCGCAGTACAACTCCAAGTGGCTCAATGGTAAGAACCCGGTTGCTCCCAGTTTTCCGTCTTGTTGGTTTGCAGTCGGTGCTGTGGCCCACTTTACGCAGACAAATGTGTTCTTCACTTTCTAAGGCGGTGCAGGGGTATCCTGCTGAGTGGTGGTGAGGGGAAGACCCAGGAGGTGATGACCTGTGCAGACAGGGCTGATGTCGACGTGATCCCCGATTAAAGCGAAGCTTGGGTTCTGTTTCTCTCGATTACTGTTTGAGGCCTTGGGAATATTTTTTGTGTCATAGATGTGTATGAACTTGCATGCATTCTTTTTTATTATATAGCCATAAATGGAAATTACCAACATTTTGTGAAATTTGCAGACCCTGTGTATAATATGTTTGGCTGATGGTAACCCTGAATCACTTAACAATTAAAAAAAATGTGTGTGGGAGATGGCATTTAGCCTAGCAGTTAAGACAGATTTATGGGCCTGCATCCCACCCATATCAGAGTACCCTGGTTTGATTCCTAGCTCCAGCTCATGAGTCTGGCTTTCTGCTAATGGATTCCCTGGAAGGCAGCCACTGTGGCCCGAGTGGCTGGCTGAGTTCTTGACATCATGTGGGAGAGCTGGATTTGTAGCTCCTGGCTCCAGCCCCAGCCATTGCAGCCATGTGGGGAGTGAAAGAGCCAGTGGGAGCTCGCTCTCTCTTTCTCTTTCTCTCTCTCTCTCTCTCTCTCTCTCTCTCTCTCTTTCTGTCTCTCTCTCTCTCTCTCTCTGTGCTTCTCTGCCTCTTCAACAAATTAATTTTTTAAAAAAAATTATCAGTTCACCGGCCCAAAAATAAATGTTGAGAATGTTCAGTGTTTTATTCTGCAGTCAGTAAGGTTGGAACTTGGGCCACGCTGCTCATGGATGTGAACCTGCTGTAACCTCCAGTGTTACACTCAGATGGGGCAATGTCCCCTGGAAGGAGAGCCACATTTCTTGTGTCCTTCTTCATTTTCCTAAGCAATTAGAAACCCTCCTAAGGCTTCTTTCTTTTCTGGTCCAGCACCTGACAGCTAAGCAGTGAGAGTCCAACTGTCACTTTGGGGTTGACTTCATACAAGTCCTGGTGTGTGCCGGCTGACATCCGCCACCTGCGTGTGTGTGTATGCACGTGTGAGTGTGACCACACACACACACGTGCATGCCTCCGCAGGTGCAAGCTCAAGAAGGCAGCGCAGATATGCCAAGTGTAATCTGTGCCCACAAGCATTTAATTGAGAGCTCTTACAGATAATAAAATCTTGCGGTAGATGTATTAAAGTTTATTATTTTGGTATTTCAAGTTCTGCAAAGATTCGGTGGCCTTTTGCCCAGTATAAGCTAATTATGTAGAATTTTCTCAGCCTCAGCACTGTTGACGTTTTGGACTGGATCGGTCTTTAGTTGGGGGAGGGATATCCTTGGCATTGCAAGATGTTTAACAGCACCCTGACCTATACAGTGGATGCCAGAAGCACGCCCCTTTTACTTAGTTGCAACAACAAAAATATTCTCAGATATCCCGGGGGAGAAAATCTCCCCTAGTGAGCACCGCTGGCTTAGGCTCATCAGCTATGCGCACTCACATGTCTGTAAATATACACAGTGCGAGTGTTTTGCAAACGACAGACTCAACCCAAGGAGCGCTGTTTGCCTTTAAAGGACTCCTCTGGGGCCCCGAGATCGGCTCCTGGTCCAGACTCTCCAGCAAGTGTGTGACTGTGGTTTCCGGAGGGCGGTGTGGATTTCTCCCCTGGTGGAAGCCGTAACCGGATTCTTCCCTCTGGCATCTCCACTGTTGAACTGGTTTCCCCCGAACCCATCTGCTCTCCATGATGGTCCCTTCTGGGCCCAGAAACTCATCTGTGTAGCTTAATACATTTTTTCTATTGAATGGTTTTATTTATTTATTTATCTAGTTTTACTACTGAGCAAAGGGTCCAGCGGAAATCTAAGTAGATTTCACCTCCTTCCCCTGCCAACCAAAGACTTTGCAATGAGTTTTTGCCAAAGCAACATAGAAAATAATCAGGATTGTGATAGCTTTTCCCAAAAGTGACACCTGGAGAGTGCCCAAACGTGGTTTGGATCCTAGCAGGGTTAGCAATGCTGCGTGTTTCCTTCCTTGTGACTCAGTGGACCCTGGCTGTTCCAGGGTGAGGCTTCCTTAGCTTCCTGGGTGGGACCCTTCCCACTTGAGACCTGGGTGCTGTCCTGCGCAAAGGAGGAGACCCAAGCTGGTTGTGGTTGTGGTTGTGGTGGGACACACACACACACACGTATACATACATGTGTACACACACATGCACACACATGTATACACACATACACACCCCTATATATCAAGATTTATTTATGTATTTGAAAGGCAGAGTAACAGACAGAGTGGGCAATATGGAGAGAAAGATCTTCTGCCCATTGGTTCACTGCCCAAAAGGCTGCAACAGCCAGGTCTGGGCCGTGCTGAAGCCAGGACTCCATCTGGGCCGCCCATGTGGGAGGCAGCGGCCCGAGTGCTTGGGCCATTTTCTGCTTCCTTCCTCAGGCGCATTAACAGAAAGCTAATGGGGCTGAGATCCAAACCAGCCTTCAGATAGGGGCTGCCAGCCTCGTAAGTGCTGGCTCAGCCAGCTGTGCCCAGATGCTACCCCAACATGCTGTTCTTTGTTGCACAGAGAAGTTCATGGGTTGGGTTCCTGAAATACGCCACTATTAACAGAAAACGTCTGAGAGCTGCAGAGATCAGGAATCATTGTGGAGGCAACTCTGGTGGCCTGGGGCTCAGCCCATGGTGTCAGCCTAACTGGCCATTCCCTGGAGGGCATCACCCCCTCCCCTGCCCGCCGATGTGGGGCAGACCCTCCCAGAAGAGCAGGGAGCAGCACGCCCACCTGTGGGCTCTCTGGGGCTTGCAGGCGATGTGTCTTCTTCATTTCCCCTCCCTGTGGTCCTGGCACCTTCTCCACCGCTGAGCCTTCAGAAACGGCTTCCGCCATGCTGGCCCTGGGCTTCTTCTCTGCCTCCTCCTCCACCCAGGACAGACTCTGGCCTCCGGAGTCCCTGGAGCTCTGCTTCTGGCCCCTGCCCGGCCTGGACACAGGGACGGTGACGCTCCCTGACCAACCTGAAATCCACACTTGGTGTCTCTTCTGTTCATTTGCAGTCCCTCTTGTCTCAGGCCCTTCCTCTCCTCTTTCCACTCGGTTGACCCTCACCCGGCCCCCCAGGAAGCTCACCCCCGGGGGATTCCACTTCTGGGCTTTCATAGATCTACGGCAGGCAGGAGGATGCTGCCGAGGCGCCCTGCTGTGGGAGGAACAGCCGTGGCCGGGGAAGGTGCTCCCGCGACCCCCATTCTTTCCCACTCACTGCCTCTCCCGCCCACCCCAGACCTCACCCAGCCCCTGCAGGCCCAGCAGAATTCACAAGGAAGTGGTGGACCTCAGGGGTCTCCTGCCCCCAGCCTATTAAATGTACCCGTTCTTTTCATTTGTGACTTACAGCTGGTTCATGTCTGTGTCCTGCAGTAATTTTCTTGCTCAAAATCATGGCCTTATCCATTTTTGCCATGGTCTTGTGTTTCTTCTCTCATTGTGAGAACTGCCTTGCTCTTAAATAAGAACAAACAAAGGAAGCTAAGCAAGCTAAAGACAAAGTACCCTTAGTCCTGCAGTGTCCAGGAAAGTCTCTTTCCCCCGCTGCGTCTCCAGGGACCCACTGAATAAGCCCTTCTGCCTTGAGAGCATTGAGAATCGAGGCATACACTGCAGAGATGAGAGCTGAGTCTGTTCTGGACTGAGCTCCCTGGAGAGTAGGACGGAGGCATCTGTGGAGGGCTGCCCCGGGACAGGGCTTCCTGCTTCTTTAGGAAGAACCTGGGGAGTGGGGGATGCCCCCCCCATCCAGCACCTCTGTGACTGCCCCACATTGTGGAGAAACAGGAAGGTGGTCTGAATCCAGCCCTCCAGTGCTGCTCATCCCCACCCCCCGGTCCCACTGCACCTGCCGCAGCTACGCTCCCCACAGCATCCACGTGAGGAGCGGCCATGGCCTTCACCACTTCCTGAGGGTGGCCATCACGGCCTCCCCACGTCTTTTCAGTCTTGTGTGTTGACTCTCTCCGCCAGTGCCCCTTCAGGTCCAGCCCCATCCCTGAACTGCTCCGAGGCTTTCTGGCCTCAGTCCCGCCCTCCTCCCCATCCTTCTCACTGGACGGTCTTCCTGGATTCCCAACCATCCTGCCCCACGGAGCCCCTGCCCACTTAAGAGCACATCCAGGTCTTTGAGAGTCCAGATCGAGAGTGGTCACTGTCAGCTGGGTGCTCCAGGGCCAGCGAGCCCCACTCTTGTGTGTCGCTTGGTTTTCCTGTTCTGGGTGTGGCCCTGCACTAACCTGCTGTGGCTGCTATCACAGAGCAGCGCAGATCGGGTGGCCTAAACCACAGCCCGCACTCACACCTCTGGGGCTGCAAGTGCAAGGTGGGGCATCAGTGTGCCGGCTTCCCCAGCGGCCTGCCTGCTTGGCTGGTGGGTGCTGTCTCCTCCCTGGGTCTCTCCCCTGTGAGTGCCTGTCTGTCATCTTCCTGAAAGGACCCTGAGGGGACTGGATGATGGCTCCCTCTAGGGACCTTTTTTGACCTGATCACCTGTTTCAATATCCAGGCTCCTAGGACAGCCACATCCTGGGGTGTTGGGATTGGGGTTGGGATTTCAGATCTCAACACTTAAGCCCGGAACAGGTTCGGTGATTCGGCCATTCATGAGAGGGGCACCTGCTCATCTCAGAGGATCCCTGCCCCTGCGCCCCAGACCTGTTCAACCCCAGTCCTGCCCTGCCCAGGTCAGGGAGGACCCCCAGACCTGCTCCTCACACCCCGTGCACAAGGGGTGCTCAGTTACCATCGGAAGCTCCACAGACTACCTGGGGTGACTTTTTAAAAATTATCACCCAGGTTTTGTCATGCCCAAACCTAAATATGTTTCTGTGTCTTCCGCTGCTCAGAGAGGAGAA